GCCCAGCTACTCTTTTTAGATATTAGGAGAATAGTGAACCTGCAGTTATTTCACCAAGCTTTTGGCTTTTCTGAAAACATCACAGTATTGTTTTAAATTAAGATTTAATAAAGTTTGTTGGTTTTCCCTTTGTTTTTAAAATTATACTTAGATTTAATGTGAGTTGTTTGGAGCATGCGGATTGAGTAGAATGTATATTTATAAAAGCAAATAATTAAACTATACAGGGAGCAAGGAGGTCTTTCACTGATCAGTCTTGAATCTCCCACAATTAAGCTTCATAAAGAATCCTAAACAATAATATTATGAGACAGAGCCAAAAATAATGCTCCCTGTTGGCTTTCTTCCTACCACATCTAATTTTACAAAGTTTGTCCTAAATAGCCTTGGGTTTGCAAGCCAAAAACACCAAAACATAATTTCCCCTCATAATGAAATAAATCTGCATTACAATTTTTTTAAATGTACAAGATCATCACCATGCACCCTGACACACAGATAATTTTGTTTTTAAAGAAGGTGTTTGTTACTCTCTAATTAGAACCGCTTTAAAGCATGAAGCAGAATAACTTGTTCTGATTAGAAACTCGGGGAAGGAGAGAAAAATGAAAATTTCAGACTACTTTACCATGAAAGTTTGAATCAAATTATGTAAATTGATAGTATATTTAATAATATGCTTTCAAAAAATATCCTGTGGAATTTTCAATAGATAAAAATGAACTTATTTGATTTATGCAGGTTGTATTTGATTTATGCAGGTTGTCTTATTTCAACAATAAATTCATTTAAGGGTATTTCCTTGCAGTGAAGAACTTGTATTACAGAGGTCTGGCACCTCAAAGGTCCTGACAGCTGACATTTTAATTAAAGGAAACTGGAGTGTGCCAAACCTGCTGAATGGAATTGACTAGGTAGGCACTATGGAAATAAGTGGTTCCCCAAGCACAATGCCATGTAAGGCATTATAAGTAATGAGCAACATCTTGAATTACACTGGAAGCAAACTGGCATCCAGTGCAGCTTACGAGCTGTTATATACGGATATTGAGGAATGTCCATCTCCAGCTGCGCCACTGCTAAAGCTTCCAGGTACTCTTCAAGGGGAACCCCATGTAGAGTGTGGTGCAGTAGTCACCAGAGCATGAATGACATCCATGTTGAGATTTAACAGTTCAAGATGGATTTCCAAACACCACAATGAAGTTCTGACTAGGGTTGGGACATTGGAATTTCATCAGTGTAGACCCAATAGTGAAAATCTAAGAAGAATCAACTGACCCAGGGAAAAAAGAGAATATTATAGTGGGTTCATGGAGACCCTTTGTAAGTGAAAATGCCTGTGATAATGATTCCTAAAAAAGATAAAAAGAATTATTCTTATAAAAAAAATACCTAAGAGAGGACTATCTCACTGATGCCCAGGAATATTAAGGTATCAAATGATATACACAAATCCAGCACTTTAGAAATAACCAGTACTGTGCCCTTGCTAGCCAGATATCATTCAATACATGGTAGTGCCATCTAAGAGAACGCCTTGTCCAAAATCACAACTGAAATGAGACAGAGATCTAACCTGGCAAGTTACATTGTCAGCTGGCGCAGAGTGACTCTTTATTGGACATTTTAAAGAGAGAAAAGGAATGAGACAGCTTGCAGCTAGGAGTTTAAGGAAGGGTATTCTTAGCAACAGACAAAGAAAAACAGCTTGAGTGAATCTGGAAAAACTGCCACTAGAAAGGGAACAAACTCTTCCCACTTTTTTGAAAAGAATTTAAGTTACAGCGAAAGTTTATAGAAACAAAGGGATCAGAAGAACAGCTTAAAGGAAGAGGAGATAATGACCTAGACATCCTCTCCTGGATTACTGGCAGGTATTGATTAAACTGTTGAAAGAGCAGCAGGGGAGGAAAAAAAAAAGGAGCCATTTCAAAGCAATTAAAGCATCCACAAATGGGAAGTGGAAATTTAAATAAGCCTGCTTCCTTTGATTATTTCTAGCTCTACCTATAGATCAGGGGTGTCAAACTGCCGGTCCACGGGCCGGATGCATCATAGCAAAACCACGCCTACCCCATTGCCGGCAATGGCAAAAAAAGTCACAATACATCCCCTGCTATAGAGGATGAAGGATGCCATGGCACAGAAAAAAAAAAAGGGTTCAGCTGATACGTGTCTTACCAGAACTGATCCAGCACCCTGCATCAGTCTACCGGTATGTTGAGGGGAGAGGAGGTAATAAAACCCTCATACATCTGAAACATTACTGGCAGATTTACTCTTCTGGTCTTATTACTGCTACTGCTGTAATGTAGACATCTGGATGGATGTGGATATTAAGCTGGGGGCAGAAATCTGCAGCAATATGAATTGTAATATGTACATTCTGACATTTATGCCTGCAAAGACATGAATATCTTATTACAAGATTAGCGCGAAGGCCTCAGAACTGAATCAATACAGTAATTGAAAACACAAACATCTGTCCCTGTGTTCTAGAGAAACGAAGGGTATTTCCTTCATTTAGAAAGGATTAAAGACCCGGTCGCCAGGTTTGTTGAATCAATATTGGTTTCGGTGTTACATGTTGGCTTAGCATATGCATGATCACCTGTGAACACTTTCTTGTTAAGGGTAAGGGAAGAGAAGGCAGTTAAGGATGGGAAAGGAGTTATAAGACAGTAGTGATATTTTTAAAAATGGTCATAGCGGGAACAAGGTGTAATCTATTATAATAGTATGATATTCTAAGCTTCCAAGTACTCAAAACATTATTTTATCATAACCTTTAAATAATAATCCTTTAAAACAAAGTACAGGTAGTCCTTGACTGATTGCCACAATTGAGCACAACATTTCTGTGGCTAAGACAGTTGTTAAGTACGTTTTGCCCCATTTTACGACTTTCCTTGCCACAGTTGTTAAGACAATCATTGCAGTTGTTAAGTTAGTCACGTGGCTGCTGAGTGAACCTGGCTTCCCCATTGCCTTTGCTTCTCAGAAGGTCGCAAATGGCGATCACATGACCCCTGGGACACTGCAACCAGGTGTCTGGATTTTGATCACGTGACATGGAGACGCTACAACAGCCGTAAGTGTGAAAAACTGTCCTAAGTCACTTTTTTTCAGTGCTATCGTAACTTTGAACGGTCATTAAATGAACTGTTGTAAATCGAGTGCTACCTGTGGTGGTATTTCTGCACTGCAGTCTTGTAGATTAAAAAGATAAACTGTGAGGCTGTCAGCTACTTAAGAGCAAAATGAGACATAGAATGGGAAACCAAAAGTCGCATTGTATCTTGCTTGGCAGTTTCTTATATCTTCAATCCACAGAGGGAAAACTGCAGGAACTTTGAAATTTGAAACACTGAGACAGAATTCAGACTTAAAAAGTACCCATGTGCAAAGCTGTTCTGATCTGAAATACAATGTCAAGTTTGCAGCAGGAAAGATTTTATTCAGATCTAATCCACAGGAAATATTAATTTTTCTAATATCCAGTATTGATTAGATTGAGTATTGTGCAGAAGCAGACAGTATGCTGAATTAGGTGACTCAATATTTGTTGTGAGCTCTAATGAACTCAGCGGGACTCACTAGACTAGACTAAGCTAGGTTAGGCTTGGGCTAGGTTTGGCTAGGTTAGACAAGACCTTTTCAAACCCTTTCCTCTAAAATTCTACTGTGTTTGGTTACTATGAAAATAAACTTCCAATAGACACTATGGAATTATATTTAAATGACTGTGTGAAGTTAATAAAAAATAAGTAATCATAAATCAACCATCATGACTCAATTAATTGAAATTACTAGTATATAAATTATAACTTTCAATCATTGTTTGATATGTTTGTCATTTTATATTGTTGAATGCCAGGCAGAGTCACTCTGTGAAATGGATAACCATATAAATGCAATAAACAAACAAACAAACACGTAAATAAATAAATATAAATCCAATTTATAAAGTAGAATAAAGCATCACTTTGAAATGATGTTATCAAATTCTAAAAGCATTCCAAAGATTATATCGATTACAAACAATAAAGAGGTGAACTAATGTTTAATCAATGGCTGGCCGTAGCTGAAGCTCCATACATTTTTTTATAGGGCCAGATGCTTTCTCGGATTCTTTTCTCAAACTCACTATATTTCCCCACAGGAAATGTTTGCACATTAATTACCATGGTTTATAATGAACAGCATCCAAGGCATGATGCCACCAAAGTAATAAAATGGACATCATTATTGACTAATGTGTATCATGATGTTTCACATAAATGTAAAAGTTGCGTGAAGATGTCATGATACATAGATTGTCGTTCCCCCTGCAGAAGTTCTTACTTATAATATTCAACACTGCACCAACCCAGAAGCTAATGGATTGGATTTAGATATTCCATATGAGCAAAAATATACTTGGTTTAGTAAGTTAGATCCAGGGACAGCACTATAATATCTCTGATTAATTTTGGATCTACAAAATCTTGGATGTACAGTATTAATTAAAACAGCTGTGTGCCTGGAATACTCTTATACTGGGAATAAGTAAACAATAATTTCCAAATCACTTTATACATGTCTTTTGTAACTATATGCAATGTTGGATATAAGTCCATATAGATAAAATTTAGTTGAAGTTTCTCTTATATTTCTTTTTCACACGAACTGTGGCTCAGAAAGACAAGGGTCAAAGTTATTACCTCATAAAGGTAAATAATAAACAGCGTGGTTTCATGGGACAATTTATCAAATTATTTTATATATATATTTAAATTGACCCTCATATCATCAGGTAGTCTTCATCCTATGTCACTCTTCCTTGATGTGGCTTCCTGTAGTTATATTGGATTACTACTCCAGAATTCCCTTGTTATCTTTGATCATACTAGTTGAAGTCTATAGGAGTTGTCCTTTAGGATGGGGAGAACATCATTTCGTGGAGAACAAGACTATGTTTAATCATCGTTTTGCACATAAATAAGCTATTTCATTACCTGTTGAACATCTTGTTGGAAAACACAAAGTTGAAGCCGCTGATGTAACCGAACTTTCCTGTGTTGCCAGATGCTCTCCAAGCGCCGCTGGTGATGTAAGACCTCGTGGACCACATCCAAAACTTGGTGAACAGCCTTGGAATAATTTGCTGTAGCCGTGAGGGATTCTGAGTTTCCTGGACTCAAGGGACGTTGCAGGACATCCAGTAAAGCTTTGCCATCCTGACTTACCTGAAAGACAGAGGAGGAGGTTTCTGTCAAGCTGTTAAAAACTGATCGTACCAGATAGTTTTGTTTGTATACCGTTTGTTAAAAGTCAAGTAGAATTTGGAAGAATATCTTTTTTTTTTGTTGCTTCTGTAAATTTGGTTAGAATTAAATCCCTGAAAGAGATTGGATAAATGATGTGTAAGATTCAAGTAAATCATTTGCAAATGGACTTTCATCTTAGGAAACCAGTTCTATTGTTTCTGGTAAAAAAAAATGTTTTTCTGTTATTGTTATATGCCATTGTTTTTAAATAAAGTAAATTATTTTTATTTCACTCTAGAATGTCTTTCCTGGTCATTAGGCAGACCAAAAACATTTTGATAAATAAAATATATTTCTAAAAAAATGCAGTCATGGTGAAAATGTCATATAGAAGTATGTAATGCTCTTTAGTTTACTTAATTGTTATATAGTAGGAATCTCAAAAGAAAATTTAATTGTGATAATATTTTCTCTTACATTTAAAAGTGAAACTCACCCAGACTCTCTAGCAATTCAGTGTCTTCTGCTATGTAGTCCACTGCTTATGATTATCAATCATTAGTATTAGGCTAATACTACATCCATTAAGTGCTGCCTCAGAGGAATCCATATTTAATTAATCAGCAAGAATGAGTTAACCAGCAAAAATTAGAACTGAAGAAGGCCCAGAAAATTCCCATGTTATTATGTTCTAAATCATATATTTCCTTCCCTCCTTCCTTCCTTCCTTCCTTCCTTCCTTCCTTCCTTCCTTCCTTCCTTCCTTCCTTCCTTCCATATAAAATGTCTTGGAATAAAGGATCTGGAAGAACCAGTCATACGACTAATCCTTTTAAAGATAATATCACTTTTATTTGTTCCAAATTGGAAGCCAAGTGGACAGAATCCAGTGGATGACAGAAGTAGCAATCTGAAATATTACCTGCGATCTTTTTCAGCTTGCGACTCCCAAAGAGAAAGACAGGCTTTTCTTTGGCCATAGCTCTATCACTTGTAGATTTGACCTCTGTCTTTCTGGTTATTAAAGCACCCAAAGAGGGAGCAGGAAAATTGAGGTAATAAACCATCAACACCTCTTTGTGGGAATGAGTGGGTACCAGCCATGAAAGGGATGATAATCTACCTCTTCCTCAAGAGGTCTGCCTTAGATCCACCTATATTGGACAAATATAATCCTATATCCCTTTTCTAAGAAAGGTAATGGAAGAAATGTGATCAACAGCTACATAAAGTCCTAGAAGAAACAGATTATCTAAACCTATGGCAGTCATGATTCATGCCTAGTAATGAGGCTGAAACTGCACCGATTACCCTGACAGGTGACTTGTGGTGGGACATTAATGGAGGGAGTGTGATCTTCCTTATCTTGCTAGATGTGAATGCCTTTGGTGCCATCAATTACAGCATCCTTCTGGATCACTTACAAGGTTACAAATGTTGGGGGTTCTAGAGTACTGCCACTCCTACCTTGACACAAGGCAGGAGAACTCATTCCTCCAGTGCTCCATTATGGGGTGCCACTGGGCTCAGTCTTTTTCCCTGTCCTAACATTTATGTGAAATCACTGGTGGAAATAATTTGACAGTTTGGAGTTAGGCATATTACTAAACAAATGTTATCGAGTCATCATATATAAATAGGGCCGAATAGGGGGTAGAGTGAAAGCCTTCATCCATTATTCAGGGTAGGGATAGGTTCAGACTCATCCCAAGCAGGATTAGTACCAACTCAGTCAGAAGCTTAGTGATTTCAGAATTATATATATTATAATTATTATAATTATTATCTTTGAGTCTTGATAGGGTTACGTAGAGAGCAAACTGGCAAATTCAGGGTTCTTCTGGATTCATGGCTCCTGTTGCAACAGGAGGGCTTTTGCTCAAGTTGGTGCCGCAATTATGGCCTTCTTTAAAACAGATACAGATTATCTCCTTGCAATTTCCAATATGGGGGCTACTTGGAAATATCAGTTGGTACAAAATGTAGCAGCCAATATACTTACTAGGCAATCATGTAAAACCACCGCTTCATTGACTAGTGATTAGTTTCTGCATGCAATTTAGAAGTGATTATTTGTTTTCTTAGCTCTTTTGATTACTTGGCAGATGTGGGTTGGGTTTCCACAATAAACTCTCTGAACTAGACCATGTCAAGCAAGCAAATTCATTCTTGAGCAAATGGTTCCAAGCTATATAGATTTGTATTAGGGAATTCTGAAGGCTACATTCCATGTAATTCTAATTGCTTGGACTGCATCACTCGTCTTCCTGATGACAGTATTTTTTACACTACAGGATTCCTAAAACTGCTATTAGAATCACACTGCTTGAAAATGATTTTACACTCCTAAGTAAAGTCTGTTGTAGCTCAGGCTACAATTCTATATGGACGTTTCTAGATTAAGACAATGGAATTACTTCTAAACACACAAGCACAGAACTGTACCATCTCCTGAGTGAATATGAAACGCTATAGTACTAGAAAAAAAATTTATGGAAGATCTATTAGCTAGGCTATTTAATATATCAGCATGGAATGAAAAACCAGATGAACACATTATATAAATTAGGTAGCTCATAACCCTCAGTACTCCTTTTGCATATTCAACCATCTCTCTTAATTACATTGTGAAATCTCCTGGTGATTATTAAAAATCGGCCTAGAGACACTCACCTCAGTGTAAGCCTGAGTGACCTGTTCATAAAGGGACTGATGATGATGGATGGCCAATTCCAGGTTTTGCATTTCAGAGGGGAGACCTCCTTCGCTGCACATTTTGCACCAGGCATCTACACCAGACAGAAACTGAAAGCATTGCAAGAAAAATTTACTTAATTACTAAAAACCTAACAGCTTATCTAATTACCAAAATAAAAAAATAACACTATCTCTAAAAAAACCACCACCATCTCTTTCCACCATCTCTTAAAAAATAACAGCTATCAGCAATAAAATATGTAATAATAACAAAAGTAGCATCCACAGCACAGCCAGCAAAACAAGAATGCCATTTTCTAGTTAAAATCTGGTCCAGAATACACATCACTTTGATAGGCTCAAGGGGGCTCTGGGCTTGCTTTTCATTAAATTATCTAGTTCTGCAAACAGTTTTGGACAACTTCAAAAGTTTCAAAATCACCTGTAGATGTAGCAGGTCAAGGATTCGTCCCCTCCACCCCCCAAAAAGCAAATAAATAGCTGTATTTTTAGCTATCTTTAAGAGAGAGAAAACATTTTTGTGAGGACAAAACAAAAATAGGAATCAAAGGGATGTGGAAGGAAACTAATTACTTTAGATAATTGCAGTTAGTTTAGGACAGTGGTTCTCAACCTGTGGGTCGGGACCCCATTTGGGGTCGAACAACCATTTCACGGGGGTCGCCAAACAACGCAGTCCGCCATTTTTTTCCCCTTTTCCTTAGCTGTGTAACTCCCTTTTATTCTCTTGAATAGAGTCTAATTCTATTGGCTTTCAAAAGCCAATAGGAATTGTCCAGGCTGTCTCTGCCCTGCTGAGCCCATCAAAAGTCCCATTCTGCAAACGGTGCTGCACCAGTTGAGTAGTCCTCGACTTACAACTGGTTGAGTAGTCCTCGACTTACGACCGGTTGGGGGTCGCGGCATTAAAAAGGTTGAGAACCACTGGTTTAGGAGAATTTATTGTTAATGTATAAAGCAGCCAAAGGAGGATCTCTCTCTCTCTCTCTTTCTCTCTCTCTCTCTCCTTCCCTCCCTCTCTCTCTCTCTCACACACACACATAGAGAGAAATACACCCAAATTAATTTTTAAAACAAATTGTAATTTTTATTTCTTTGAACTTCTTACTACCTACTCTAGACATTCAAGACAGAAGGGTTTACTCTTTATCTGGGAGCTGGGGTACAATTCTGCTGCCTCTGGTGACTGGAGAAAAGAAATTCTGCAATGTTGGACATAAAAAAAAGTTCAGAAATAAATAGGAAGCCCAAGAAAAGAAAAAAAACGTGATTTAAACAAAAATTCTGCCAAGTTTCAAACTAGCAACTTTTACAAGATAGTTTTTATAATCATTGTGCTATTGTAATTTTTGTGGTAAAAGTAACTCAAAGGGCCATTAATGGGCTAATCTTGTAGCCCCTGGCTCATCTGAGGGGGCATTCGCTGCCTCTGCAAAGGAACCAATGAAATATTTGAGGTCACCCTGCAACAAATGTAGTGCACCATCTAAAGCAGAGAAATGTTTTCAGAAGTTTTCAGAAGTTTTCAGAAGGACCAGGACTAGGTTGACTACACCCCAAAGTTCTGAAGGAACCGGCAGATATGATCTCAGAACCACTGAACTATATTTTTCAAAGATTCTGGAGCATTGGGGAACTACCAGAGGACTGGAAAAGAGCTGAAGTAGTTCTCATCTTCAAAAAAGGGAAAAAAATAGATCCAGGAAACTACACACCTATCAGTCTGAACTCAATATCTGGGAAGATCTTGCAAAAGATAATCAAGCAACGAATCAGCGAAAACCTAGAGGCAAACAAAGTCATTACTAAAAGCCAACATGGGTTTGTCAAAAACAGATCATGCCAGACAAATCTTATCTCATTCTTTGACTAAGTGACAAAATTAGTGGACCAGAGGAATGTTGTGGTATAATTTACTTGGATTTCAGTAAGGCATTTGATAAAGTAGATCACAACCTACTACTGTGGGTTAGACAGCATCACCACCAGATGGATTTATAGCTGGTTGACCAGCCGTACTCAGCGTGTAGTACTCAATGGAACTGCATCTACATGGAGGGAAATCAGTAGTGGGGTGCCCCAGGGCTCTGTTCTGGGCTCAGTGCTCATCAACATCTTCATCAATGATTTGGATGAGGGGATAGATGGGGAACATCAAATTTGCAGATGACACCAAGCTGACAGGAATAGCCAACACTCCAGAAGATAGGCTTAAGATACAGAAGACATTAACATTGGGTGTTATCTAACAAAATGAAATTCAGTGATGAAAAAAGTAAGGTTCTATATTTAGGCAAGAAAACCAAATGCACAGGTATCGTTTAGGAAGTACCTTGCTCAATAGTAGTAACTGTGAGAGGGATCTCAGAGTTCTAGTAGACAATCACTTAAATATGAACCAGCAGTGTGCTGAAGCTGCCAAAAAAGCCAACACGGTGCTAGGCTGCATTAACAGAGGGATAGCATCAAGATTACGTGAAGTGTTAATACCATTTTACAATGGCTTGGTAAGGCCATACTTGGAATACTGCATCCAGTTTTGGTCACCATGATGTAAAAAAGATGCTGAGGCTCTAGAAAAAGAGAAGAGCAACAAAGATGATCAGGGGACTGGAGGCTAAAACTTACAAGGAATGGTTGCTGGAATTGGGTATATCTAGTTTAATAAAGAGAACGATGAAAGGGGACATGATAGCAGTGTTCCAATATCTCAGGGACTGCCACAAAGAAGAGGGAGTCAAGCTATTCTCCAAAGCACCTGAAGGCAGGACAAAAAGCAATGGATGGAAACTAACCAAAGGGATAAGCAACCTAGAACTAAGGAGAAACTTCCTGACAATTAGAACAATTAATCAGTGGAACAACTTGTTTCCAGAAGCTGTGAATGCTCCAACACTGGAAGTCTTTAAGAAGAGATTGGACAGCCATTTATCTGAAATGGTATAGGGTTTCCTGCCTGAGGAGGAGGTTGGACTAGATGACCTCAAAGGTCCCTTCCAACTTTATTATTGTTGTTGTTGTTGTTGTTAAGTGGAATAGAAAAAAATACGACTAAGTCACTTTGCCAAAGAGTGAGAAATTCTAAAAGGTAATATATGTTTTTGCCGTCCAAAAATGGATGCTGACCTGTTGTAAAGAGTCCATATGAGCTCCTAGACACATCTTAATTCACCAGGTTAATCCACTAGAATCCAAAACTAACAACCAAATGAAGCACAGTCATCTTATATATTATCAAGTTAGAATAATTATTTTAAGACAAATGGTTTTGAGGCAAGTATTAGATCAGTGGTTCTCAACCTTTTTAATGCCGCAATCCCCAACTGGTCGTAAGTCGAGGACTACTCAACCGGTCGTAAGTCAAGGACTATTCAACTGGTGCAGCGCTGTTTGCAGATTGGGAGTTTTGGTGGGCTCAGCAGGGCAGAGACAGCCTGGACAATTCCTATTGGCTTTTGAAAGCCAACAGAATTAGACTCTATTCAAGAGAGTCTATTCTATTGGCTTTCAAAAGCCAATAGAATAAAAGGGAATAGCACAGCTAAGGAAAAGGGGGAAAAAATGGCAGACTGCGTTGTCTGGAGACCCCCGTGAAATGGTCATTCGACCCCAAATGGGGTCTCGACCCACAGGTTGAGAACCACTGTATTAGATAGTAGATCCATAATCTATACTTCATAACAGTTTTTAAGGTAACAGTTCAGCAATAAGAAATCACTTCTGTTGGCTTCAAAGTCCTACATCCATGACATATGTACACTTTGATCACATTTATGACCTTGCCTTCTTTGTATATAAAAAATCTCTATAGCACCACTTCCTGTGTGGTGTTGGTTCACGATAATGCTCCCCTGCACACCGCTAAATGCACCCAAGAACTTTTGAAGTAGTTATGTTGGGATGTTTTTGATCATCACCACCACCCATAAACCAGATTTGGCACAGAGTGACTACTACTAAGGAATTTCAAACCTTGTAAGATGTTATGACAAGTGCCTCAATTTGAATGGTGATTATGTCAAAAAGTAATGTAATGTTGTAGTTTTCTAATGTGTATAATAAAAATTCTGTATCTGCGAGTGTCTGTCATTAATAACCAAACAGAGATTTATTTCCGAATTGCCCTCATATATCCGAATACCATGGATGAACAACACCAGCTTATGCTATGATATCTCATGCCTTTCTTACAGAGATGACTTCCAAAAATTTAAACCTGAACCAATCATTATTATTCTAGGATCTGCATCTTCATCAGAGATAACGAATTGTCTGCAAAGATGTTGCATTCTGAATCATGAGGAAACACCGAAGGGAAAGAAAAGAGAGCAAGAAAGCCTGAGGTATTTCATGTGGATATAATTATTGATATTACAACCTCACAGGATTAAAAAGGCAATTTCAGATTATATTTCCATTGAATTGTCCAAAGGCTCTCTATTCCCAATTATATAAGATCCCCATGTTTAGGCTATTGCTGTTATTATTTATGTGACTATGTTAGCAAAAGTATAGAAAAAAGGAAAACAAATGATACTTTTGGAGGAAAGGCAAGTGAAGAAAATTGTCAAGCAATAGCTGAACTAGTCTTCTTTTAGCTCTTAGTAGTTCCCACATGCATCCAGACAAAAATGTTTAGAAGTTCAGAAGCACCTTGTTTTCTAGAAAGATAACAATTCAGTTCTGCACAATTTATCTAAAAAAGAACCTTAGGTGGGAAAGACTAAAAATAGCAATCGGGCTAAATTAATAGAGTGCTCCTGAAAGTCCAGATAAACAACATTGAGCTAGATTAATTAGCTGATTTAATATAAAATACTATAGATTCATTTGTTCTCAGGATTGCTCTTCTCTTCCATAATTAAAAACTCCACATTTTCCAATTACTAATCCTGAACACATTCCAGAAATTCAGTGAACTTTCCTGTTCAAACTGAATTTCCGTGGCCACAAGTTAATTAGAGATTTCAGGTGTTTTTTTTTTTTAAAAAAAGAAATTAAAGTAATTTAAATGCAATGAGATCCAATATATAATTAAATGTTAAAATATTCTACTAATCTCAGCAGATGTTACTGCTTCTCTCCCG